TCACTAGTGATAATAAAGGTTAAACATGGCAAATTTGTTATATTATCAATTATACTGCAAACGAATTAATTATAATAAAAATATCTTAGGATTTAAACCTGAAAGTAGGAGTAAAAATGAGACTAGTCTTTACACTTAACTTGAGAATAGGGAGTAACAGGGCCTTGCACACCTCTTAACTAGTAATTGCGAAATATGTAAAATAGACTGATTTGACAATGCTGTCATTAATGCTATAGATTTTTAAGAACATGCATCTGCATAAAAGTTTGAAGTAGTCGATATGTACAATGTAACTGACAAGTTCTTCATTTCTGGTAAGGAATCCCACCACTACGCAATGTGATCAGGTATTGTTTTAAACTAGAAATACAGCAACTCCACTGAGTAGCAAATCCCCTCCTAATTTTCAATGTTTCATCAAAGTTGACTTAAAAATGCAAAACCTCTGCATAAATCAATTTCATCAAAAGGGATACAAGTTATGAATTCAAAGAAATAAAAAAGAGTCATATAAACTTTCTAGATCTACAAACCATACATACTTACTATATCTTTAGAAAATCCGATCTTACAGAGGATGGTAACTACTGAATATAGATACCATCAAATTCCCTTTGTATTAAAGGACAACTGAAATAGGTTTTCTCAACTTGCAGCTACAAAAATGTGATTTTCTTCATTGTAAGCCCAACGCAGAGTTCTTGCGATAGCCATTATAAAAGAAATGTTAGGTAACTGATCAATCAGATTGGCCCTACGTGATTAGTAATGTCATACATAATATATAGTTTTAATTTATTGGTTCCTTGGTAATCACTACGTCACGGCAACCATATGATTGTTGTGTAAACAAATAACAAAACATCTTGGTATTATGACGTCATGATTTAATGGACCAAAACTGGCCACGTGGGGACCAGTGAGAGATCACGTGGGGGCCAATAACGTCACAACCTATTCGAATATTGCTTATTAAACAGCTATAACGATCGTTAGAGTGAAATAATTTTCACAATACTGATGAGGAAACATGTCCAAATACATTTATCAAAAATTTATATTGATTCCTTTAGATCAAAAATACCATTTCATATCTGCTTTAAGCATTATCACTCAGATTAACTGATTTGATGGAGTGATATTTCAGTTTTCAAAAATGATGGCAATCTTGTAATTGCATGTCTAAGCATAATTGACAACAGATTTTTGAGTTATCGACCAGACAGACGAATTAACATACAAATGCACAGACAGCTTCTTTATAATCTTACTTGAACTTTGTTTGGTGGGATAACAAGTGAAAACTTATTCAGAACAGTATGTAGTGTTCTATTAACATAATCTACTTAGATAAACCTTTACATGCTCAAAGTCCATCTGAAAATCAATCTCGATCAGCTAATTTTTACTACTCATTTTATGACTCTGTACAAAACTTATACGAAGATGGCCTATTGATATATACAAGCTTTTGGTAGAGAAAACAATATGACTCGATTCTTTACTAATATGCATTTTATTTAAAGAGAGAAATTAATAGAAAACTGACCAAGGTGAAATCTTAAAATAGTTTAAGTATGAAAGCTCTCAATTCGCTTCAGAAAAAGTAGAATATATCCTAATGAACAGTGTAATCCTATTGATTAATAACTATAAGATTTAGTTGCAGCCTACAAAAGCAAGTAATTATTCCAAACTTAGAGACAAAATGATCTGGACTATTTTAGCAAGATTACCTCTCAGCCAATGAAAAAATATGAGAAGACAAGTCTGGATTTGATATACATTTTTATCTTTTTATACAAGTCGAGGTGTCTTAGTTGAGTTGTCATCATCTACTTGCCCTCAATGGCCTCGGATATAAAAAATAAAATATTACCTTTATCATCAGTTTTGCCACATTTACAGATTTGTTTCACCTAGTACTCTGTTTCTTGTATGTACAATGTATTAAATATAATAAAACAAAGTTTATATTGTGCATTTGTGTGGTTTTATGCAATATTTCAACTAAAATTCATCATTGTTGCAAATAAACGTCTTCTATTTACTTCCGTTGACCTTGATCTTTACCAGAACTACTTAGTTTGAATTTGCGCCATATTTGAAAACTAAAATTAATAAAAATAGAAATATGTGAAACTCAAAAGTGAAATCTCCCATATGGGAGCAATTTACAATTACGGAAGATCCTAATAACTTTTTAAAGTTGAATAAAGAAGTTAATCTGTTTATAGCATATATGTTTGTAATGTTTTGAGGAGAGCCATGGCTCTCAGGAAATATTTAGGGTGTGGTGCTAACATCTTCAGAATAACCGTTCAATCGTGATAAATCATATTTATGTTATGTTTTATCCTTTTTACATGCTATTATTGTATATTCAGTCAAGTTTAGACTGTGGAAACGGTCATGATTTGCCAATAGGGTGTGGAGGGAGCTAAATAGAGTGTGGTGCTGCGCCACAGTCTAAAAGCCTGGCGAGAGCCCCGAGAGCCATGCATTTAAGGCTGGATAAGAAAGGAAAATAAACAATAACACAAAAATGAGGTGATTTATGATTACATATGTAATTATCTTTTCTTCACAATTTTTCCAGGGGATATGTCTTCGACGATCGACTTTTCAAAATCAAAGTCGACTCTCAGCCTAACTTTCGTCAAGTCCGACTAGTTAGACTAATCATTCTAATTTGTATGTGGTTTTCTGACACCATTCAAATGGATTATATGGAGTATAGCTATCATATACAGTGTGCCTTGTGTTGGTTTAATCAGTTAGATGAGATTTATGTAATACTTAACAGTGAACATGCTTCAAGATGGCTGATACTGTAATTATTAAACTACCAAAGGTCAGTAAGTTACTGACAGTAACCAATCAATCTATATATAACATGTAAGTATTTATAGCAGAAATCTATGAGATAACTAGAATAAATATCTAAATAACAGAAGATTTGGATATTGATGATAGCCTTACAAGATCCACGTACTAAAGCATACAATTTAGAAATTCAAGTGAAAATCTTATGTAGACAGTTTAATTTTGCATTTACATGAACTTATCATGCCTATATAATACTTTATGATGAGTTAGCTCTCCCATTTGAACTTCTGATATTGTCATTAGTGTTTTTATTTTCTATAAAGTCCAGTGATCAAAGGTTTCTATCTTTTGATTTATTGTAATATACTGAATAAGTTTGAACTGAAATATGAAGATGATAATTTGCTATGACAACATAGAAGAAAAGATATAAGTATGATTGTCTTACATATATGACATAATCATATGCTTCATAAGTTATATGTAACGGGAATAATAAACATGTTATAAGTGAGTTGCAAAATCTCTCTATTATCATAATTTATGATCTTAAAAGTATGATGAATTTTCTTTAAATATGAGAACATCTATATTAAACTTGCAATATGATGCATATGCATTTTTACTTTTGTGAAAGCACAATATTGAAACTTTAAATTTGTTAATGATACATGAGCAAATGTATTAAAATTAGTAGTATTTTAACATGGTAATGCTCTTTTATCTCATTTAATTTACTGATAAGACTGTTTTGACATAAACACTGTAAACACTGAATGATGACTCATTCAGGAAATAATGCCTCAGGTGATGAAAACAAAACATTACAAAGCTTGCAATGAAGTCATATGGTTATACTAAAAATGTCATACTCCCTTCTACTTCAATTTTCAAAATTGTTATGCATTTTCATCATCAGTATCAAATCAGATTTGGTAGCATGCAAATATTATATTTATTACATTATCTTTTTTCTTGAATATCAGTCATTTGAAAGCTTCTAACGCTATGTAAAGTGACTTGTATAAAAAATCTATAATTTGTCATGTAATTCCTGCCAAGTTTTGTTACCACAGATAATTGTGGATTCAACTATAATAAAATTTTAAATTTTAGTGAGTACTTTGAATTTAAAAAATAAGCAATCAAATGACCAAATTGAAACAGTTTATGTAAAAATAGAAACATTTATATTTATCCTAACTTTTGTATATTTCAGATAGTAATGTATAATGTGCAGCAAAGCTGTGGCCTTTTGTAATTTAGGGAGGTTCAGTCATGTTAATTTTTCCAAAAATAACATGGCAGAGAAATATCAAAATATAAGAGGACACAGATATGATAGCTAAACTACAAAACAAACTAAAATATACAAAACATAAATGTTTCTATTTTTACATATACTGTTTCAATTTTGTCATTTGATTGCATTCGAAGTACTCACAAACATTTAAAATTTTACTGTACACGAAAAGAATGCAAAAATACCAAGGAATCTATTAAAGTAGGTATCTTAAGTGTGAGGCGTAGAAAATTCTCTCATGTTGTACAGGCAAAAGATTGAGACGTTCTCAGAACTATAGTCCTGGCACGGGATAGGCGAAAATCTGTGGAAGTCTTCAAGTTTTTGCAAGAAAACTGTAAATATATTTCATCAAAATGGCCATGCATGATTACGTTGCAGATAAACATGGACAAACAAAGGCCAATACTTTGGTTCTTTGGAGAAAACCATATTCCGATGAGAAAATATTATGGTCTTTGGTCTGATTTCAAAGTGCAATTGCACTCAACAGAAATGTTTGCATGATATTCAAACTGAAATTCTGAAAACATTCAAACATAAGCCTCTGTTGAAGATAGCGACATATTTAAAATACAACAATGAAAAGAAAATATACGTGAATTAAGAAATATACATATTCATGTTCCAATAAGAAAAGATGCTTTAGAAAATCGTAAAATAGATTCTTTGTAAAAAGCTCGAAAATCTGAACGCCATTTTGAACAAGTACCCATGCTATTCAGATGATGTTTTCCCCGTAACTAAGAAACCGAATAAAGTGAAACTTGAGAAATCATCAGACAATTATTAATTAAACATTACTGCAATAACATTACATAGATTAAACATCATAAGAAGCGTGAATATAATGAATTTTACTTACATCCTTGCCCTTGAGCTTCGTGGACGCCATCTTGAATTAGTGAGGGGCCGGGTCATTGAGTCACGTGACTAGCTGCAAATCTTTGACGTCAATATTCATTGACCAATGAAACTTGGTAATCTTCGCGCGAAAATTAAAAGTAAACAAGACGGCGTGTTCAATTATGATGCCCGGGAATCGACCGGAAATGCAGTAACAATCAAAGATCACGTTTCTTATAATAATGCTAAACATAATGAATCATTAATGATAGTAATAATAATAATTTTTATATGTGAATTGATTCAAAGTGGGGGACATTTAACTTTATTATCCCGGACTCGGATCCAAGTTATAATATGGAAAATTTACTCGAATTTCACTGGTCTAATTCTGTAAAAAAGTGGACATCTTCGAAGAGTGAAAAATATGGAAATTTGGGGTTATTGAAAATAAAGTCAAATAACATTTCTTGTCATTATTATTTCTTATATAATGTATGGTAACTAATTTTAAAGAGTGGCAATTTTAAATTATTTGTTGTACATCGTATGAGCCCGTATGGAAACTTATTTTAAAAAGCCAGCAATGACATTAGTTTATGATGATAACGTTACGTAGAAATATTTATTACATATCCTGTAGACCCCCGTCGATTGCTTTATACAGCAAAATAATTGATTTGGGCACGTTGGTGATAGGTGACGATGCACCAACATCATGTCTTAGAAGTGTATCAGTTAAAAAAGACCTAACATTAATTCCCCATATGTTGTATGCCTATTTATTTAGCAATTCTTTGTAGATCTATCCGGGAATTTAAAAATAAATCCATCGCTTAAAACCAAAAATGTTGCATGTAGAAACACAGAATAATGTTGCACCAGACAAATTGTTCCTCGGGGTGCATGGGCCAACCAGGGAGATTCCTATCAATTTTAAAAAACAAAACATATATCTATGAGTCTAAAATCACCATCATGAGAAATGATGGCTTTCTATTAGCTCCCGGTATTAGCTTCACACTTGTATCAGGGGCGGATCTGGGAACCAACAGGGGGGGGGGGGCAAATTCCAGGTCAGAGAAAAGAACTTCCACGGAAAAAAATTTTGGGCCTCTAAAACCATGGGCTTTCAATTAGAAGTTGAAAGCCCATGCTAAAACCAAATTTTTGAAATTTTGAGGCCCATTTTAATCAAAATTTGACCTGAAATTAAAAAATAAGGCCTTGAAAGGCCCAATATAACCTAAAAAAAGGCCCACTTATTGGGGCCTTAAGGCCTTTTTTGGCTTTTTTTCTGGGCCCACCCAAGGGACGTCGAGTAGATAACTGGGCCAGACGGGTTATTAGGGGTTATCGAATTCTACGACCACTTTAGATTGGTCGTAGGATGCGATAAATTAGGGGTGTATTAGCCTTTTGATGTTTTGCAGATCGTTGTAGATGAAATGTCTACCCCTCACCGATACATTCTGAGCACATCTGAGAGGCAAAAAACCCGGTTTCACTATTCCCTGGTCTCAGGAATGAACCTGGAATCGGGCATGAGCTCTGGTTCGTTTTGTGCGCACTGAACGAAAACGTACTACAAATTAGATATCTGCGTAATCCGGCCGAAAAAGATTTTCAAAAATTATCGGTGATATTTTGAACGCATTTCATGTAAATTTATACGTTATATTGATAATAAGACGTACTATAGTCTGTAGATCTAATACAAGTAAGTTTGTGGTTTGATATACAAAAGTTAAGTCTTACATGAGTGATAGAAAATTATGAAATACATTTGCAAAGTGAAGTTCAAAAGCCGAAAAGGTTATCCCGTGCCAGGACTAGTCTATATCCAATAGACTGAATATCCTGAGAATTCAGTCTATTGATCATTATGTCCCTCCTGTGGGAAAAAACAGGAAATTTCCTGCAAACTATTATCAATTTTAGGAAACTTCACTTCCCAAAAATAAGCCGCTTATACACTGGTGATCCACTCGATTACGCTGGTTACCAAAACGAACTGTTTTGGTAACAAAATGTCGGAACATCGAAGGTACGATTTTTCTTTTTTCCTTATTTCACACGTTGTAGGCAGAATTCCCAAGACATTTTTAACACAAAAGTGTATCAGTATCATATGCTTAAGAAAATGTACATATTTGCGAACAAATAGTTCAGAAGACAACAGAATCGTCGATTTAATTACTCACTTAAGTTACATAAACGGTTTTTTGAAAAACGGTTAAGATCTGCACTTTTAACCCAAACCATTTATGTAACTTAAGTGACGAATTAAATCGACGATTCTGTTGTCTTCTGAGCTATTTTTCGCAAACATGTACATTTTTCTATAACATATGATACTGATATACGTTTGTGAGAAAAAACGTCGTGGTGATTCTGCCTACAACGCGTGATATAAGGAAAAAAGAAAAATCGTACCTTCGAGGTTCCGACATTTTGTTACCAAAACGGTTCGTTTTGGTAACCAGCGTAATCGAGTGGATCACCAGTGTTATAACAATTAAGGTGCTATGGAAGTTAACAGGAAATGACAAAACAGGAAGTGACAAAATTTTTTGCATTTTTAGACATTTTTTGAACAAAGATAACAGAGTTCTGGTTTGACCTCCAGTCAATTTAAGGTGACTGTTAACTTAATCGATTTTCAAAAAAAATTGAAAATGTCACAATCTTGAAATTTTCAAACTCTTCCTGAGAAGTCGTTTTTATTATTTCACATATGCTTGTGCACTGTAATCATTACAAAGACATCAAAGAACAACAAAAAACTTTAGCTTGAGAAAAAAAGTGCTGTTAAAAGAATTTGAGAAGATTTTTTTCTGGGAGTAGCCCGTGAAAAACCGCTGATTCAAAATATCTGAACATTTCAGAAAATATACTTAAAACATATATCAAAAACGAAGGAGCAACGGAAATTTGAAAAATTACCTGATAAAAAAATTGGGATCAAAATAAGGAAAAAAGTACACTTCTCAAATTGTTTTTTTCTATTTTTTTTAATTTGTATGAAAGATTTCAAAATTCTAAAGCTCCTTCCATTTTGGGCTATATTTAAAGGGATGTTTCAGAGAAATTAGAAAAAAATGTTCAGGGACCTTTACCGTGCTACTCTTTTTGTCAATTTTTCTGTCACATTTTCAGAGGACTCAAATTCCCATTCCAAAATGTTTACTGTTTCTATTTGCATTACCACAGTGAGCCTGGGGGTCATTAACAGAACTTTCGTAAAGTTACGAATTCGCAAGTCAATTGTTAATTTTACGAATTTGGTAAATGTGCATTAACAGAACTTTCGTAAAGTTACGAACGATTCGCAAAGTTACGAAAAAATGACGTCACGTATGCTTTCATTCGTAACTTTAATAGCACCTCAGACCCTTTCATAACTTTGCGAATGGCACATTTCTCATCCAATTCTTATGTAAGGTATACAGGTTGGCAAAAAGAAATTGTTCTCTATATGCATGCTGAGTTTCGAGCTAAAATATCTACCTATTCTTACATGATAAGCAAATATGTTCCTGAGGTGGAACTCTTTGAAATCGCGGAGACAGGTTTGATCACAGCGCGCAATGATATCAAATGACATCATATTTTTATTTGTGCTAAATAATGATATAAGATGACGTCACAATTTGAAATTCATTTACGAACGATAAAACTTATGAATGACTTACGAAAGTGTTCTGTTAATGGCAGATTCGTAACTTTATGAATTCGTAAATCATTCGTAACTTTTTAAATATTTACGAATTTCATAAAGTTACGAATTACGAATTCGTAAACTTTGCGAAAGTTCTATTAATGACCCCCTGGTTATTTAAATGATAAGTGGAACTAAAAAATTGAGAGAAAATCCAACCAAAAGACAGTTAATTTTGATGGTCAGATTATACTCAAATGCCATGTGCTTCCTGGTTTCGGCCATCTTGGATTTTTTGATTAAGTTATAAGTTACCTTAACTATTTCCACATATCATTTACATGACCAGGAGGATCACAATGTGCATGGTCAGAATGACCCTAAACATGATGAAATATCCTTTTCAGCCCTTTGAAAGTGTGACTGAAAAAAGATAAAAGTAGGAGCTAAGGGAAGGTCATTGAACAGAATCTTTTGAATTTTTCAGAAAATGTGCCCAATATAATTCTTTAAATGATACAATCTTTGAAAATTTAGAATATTGTCTGAAACAAAAATGGCGGTCATGAAAAGGAAAATAGATCGCTTTTCAAATCATTTTTTTCTTTTTCTATAAATGATATTAAATTTTCAAAGATTGTATCATTTAGAGCAATATATTAGGCACATTTTCTGAAAAATTATTATGTTATTTCATCATGTTAAGGGTCATTCTGACCATGAACATTGTGATCCTGGACCTGTAAATGGTATTTGGAACAAGTTGAATTGACTGGAGGTCAAAACAGAACTCTGTTATCTTTGTTCAAAAAGTGTCAAAAAATGTTGTCACTTCCTGTTTTGTCATTTCCTGTTAACTTCCATAGCACCTTAAGTAGTAAGGTACAATCAAATGCTATAAAAAGTAACACAGCATATTGTCAAATGGAAATAAAGCTAGGGGAAGTAACAAATATGCAAATTAATTTACCCAGTCAGCCATTTTGAATGGCACTTCCTATGTAAACAAATAATTTTCAATCCCAAATTTTAACATATGTGGGCTATAGTCTGAATATTTTCATTACAAATTTCAAAAAAATTTCAGACTAGAGGATATAGTCTAATGCCAGGACTATAGTCCTGGACCTAGCGCAATCTTTTGCCTGTACGATTACAACTTGGTAGAATTATCTACACCCCTTACACTTAAGATACCTACTTCAATAGATTCTTTGGTATTTTAGCATTCTTTGTTGAATCTAGTGTTATCGCGATGTGCCCAGGCCTGTCAACTGTCCCGCAATTTGCGTATTTGTCACGCATTTGCAGAAGAATTTGAAGTCACGCCAGTTATTTTTGCGTGACAGAAAATGTCACGCAAATACGCATTTTACCTGGTAATTGTCAAGCAAAAATATTTCTGTAGAAAAATTTCTAAAAAAGATCGTCTACACAGCAAAAATACGAACGCCGGAAAAAATGTACGCATTTCGTTCGGACTTTTCACGCGAATTACGTATATGTCACGCATTCCGTTCGAAATTTTTCGTACCTACCCCCCCCCTCTGAGGTGTTCAAAATTTGGCAAAATGTAATAAAATTTAAACCAAGGTGTTCAAAATTTGGATCAAGGTTTCCAGATTTGGACCAAGGTGTCCACATTTTGAGGGGAGGTGTTCAACATTTCCAAGTCACTCATGTTAGGTGTTCCCAAGTTGACAGGCCTGTGTGCCATAATCGTACATCGATGCATTGGCAATTTTCAGTAGTAAACATCGATGCACATCGCGATGTACATCGAGAAAAGGTCCAAGAAAAGTGCACTGAAATACCGAGCGCTAATGCACTAAAATAACGAACAGAACAAATTAAAAAGAGTATGCTGGTACATCCCGGAACTTCTAGTAACGGTGAAATGAAAGTAAATTCTTTTAGATTAATGGTTCATTTCGACTAGTTAAAACAGTTTTAAAGCGAAAGAATATCAGAAAACATTTGAAAATGAAATAAGAGATAAGAAAGGTAAGCGATTCGCGTCAAAATAAGATAAGAAAGGGTGATTTTTAGCAAATTAAATTTTTTTAAAAACATCAATGTTTTGTTTCAGACATCGATGCATCGCCCAAATCAGCTTTGGCGATGTATATCGCGATGTATCAATTAATCGCGACAACACTAGTTGAATCCACAATTGTCTGGGTTTATCGGCAGAACGTAGAAATTTTCGTTTTTGATCGTGATATTTAACTTATTTCAACCGTCAAATTCCTCCATTTATTGGTACTTCCGAGCCACTTCTGGGCCAGTCAAACGGGGAATCCCCTTTTAAATCCAACCGCCATCTTGGAAAGTGATGGAATCTCTCTCAATGAAAAAGAAAAATGTTCCCGTTCTGCCGATATACCCAGACAATTGTGGATTCAACTACACGAAAAGAATGCTAAAATACCAAGGAATCTATTGAAGTAGGTATCTTAAGTATAAGGGGCGTAAATAATTCTCCCAATTTGTAATCGTACAGGCAAAAGATTGCGCTCGGTCCAGGACTATAGTCCTGGCACGGGATAACGAAAAGGATGTTAGCCTACTCTATAACCATGGGCTTAGTTGAAAGCCCATGTAGTCCATATGACTTCCTAATATGAAGGATCCATAGCAAACTATAGCGCAGCAACATTTGAAGCAATATTTAAGGAGGTGCATATGTTTTGATTCTTATAAAATACCATTTACTGAAAAAACTTCCGGCTTCCGGGTAGAAAAATGTCTTTTATCACAAGGGGTCAAAAATGCAAATAGGCTATTTGATTCATATTTTTATACATTTTATAAGACACAGACCGATATTCTATTTTATAAGACATAGACCGTTATGCTAAGCATGCAGACAAAAATAGATTATCATAATGTAAATATTTTCTTAACTGTAAATGCCGATGCTTAATTAGTGTAATTACACAGAGACATATAAAACAGTTTTATATGTCTCTGAATTACACAAGTGTGCTTTTCAGGTTTTGTTTGATTTTTCAAATATCACAGGCTGGTATCGAAAGACTACTCCCTACTTTAGGGAGTAGTCGCCCATTTAGTCTGCCATTTCGAAAAATAGCCACCATTTTGATGTGTTTTATTTTACATTTTTTATTATAACTCAAAAAGTAATAGAGCGATTTTGTTCATATTTGATATGTGAATACTCGTAGTCGTAAGGATTGCAAACTGTCTGATGACATTTTGGGTAGTATTTTTAAAAAATGGCCACGATTTACAATGCACGTGTGTGCGATTTTTTAAAATTTTACATGTGGCTACTTAAAAGCATATTGCTTCTTCTGATGACAACTTGGCTAGTGAGCAACCATTTTGAAAATGGTTGCCTTTCTTATGTGTGTTATTTTATGATATTTGCTATATATTTAGTTTGTAAAAATGCCAGCCATTTCTGTTTGGTGGGATTCGCTATGCTTTGGCGTTGCCGTTGTTCTGGTTCAAATTCTAATGATTTTCTGGTTGTCTAAAAAAAGGTCGGGCTAAATGCCCATTGACAAAATGCTGAAAAACCTTTAAAGTTCATTTACTCTTACAGGATCACAATTTTAATGTGAAATCACAATCCACATGTCAATAAGATCATGTTCACTGTTTAGGATGTTGTTACAGACATTCACATATGAAAATATCTAGAAACTAGATCACATCTTTCGGAAATTATGAAAACATCTAGCTATTTGCTCACATTTCATCAACCTCTTGTTTTATTATTCCATCATGCATTTTCCCTGTCATGCTAATAGCTAAAGTATTATTATGTACTTTCAGATCACCAGACAATGTTGCTTGGTGTTTAAGGTGACAACTGGTTGAATTGGTCAAGTAAAGTGTTTATTCCCTACAAATGAAGATACCATGGATGAAATGGAAGTAATCCATTTGGTACAAAATAAACGTTTTCAGAGTTGTATCTCTGATATGCAGGAAAACCATGAACTGTGTGATGTATCCTTGCAACTTCCTAATGGTGTCACAATCCAAGTACATAAGCTTGTAATTGCAGCTTCAAGTGCCATGTTCAAAGGCATCTGCTCTGAAGCAAAGCTAAACTCTCAAGTGACAATAAGCCTAAAGGAAATGGACATATCTGTCCCATATATGAAGAAAGTGATTGACTTCATGTATGGCAGGGTCATCACTATAAAAGCATCAGAAATAGAGGAGTATCTACGAATAGCAAAATCACTCCGGATGAAACCTCTAGAAAGAGTAATCTCATCTGTCACTGAGGAACAAGAAGCAATTAAAGCTGAACAAGCTGATTCTAAAAAACTTTCAAAGAGATGTTTGCAGAAGAAAGATATGACTTGTGGTTCCCATGCCCAAAGCACATCAACTCAAGAGGCTTCAACAGGATTGCAATTTCAAGACCAAAGAGAGACATCCTCTGTGGTGAGTGTTGATTTGGTTGGTTCACAATCAGATTCAGCAGGCACTGATACTCCTGAAGTCACATGTGACATGGGGGACGAATTCAATGATGATCTTATCCCACCTTCTGCTATTAAAACTGAACCTGAACCAGAACACGATGAATTTGAAGAATTAATGTCGACAATGGAAGCTGAAACTTATGATGACTCCAATGAAGCAAATGATATCCTTGATTATGAACAATTTGATGATGATGTTATTGATCCAGATTATGAACAAATTGATTATGAGACATCTGATGTAAATGATACTTTGTCAGATTCAGCAGCAGAAGGTTCATCTCAATTCTCTTCTGTAACTGACAGTTATTTAGATGATTTAATAAAGGAAAAGGTTGGAACTGAAAAGAAAAGTCGTAGCACGCAAAGAACAATGAAGCGTTCTATAGAAACATTTCGTAAATATTGTAGCACTGAAAACTTTGAAGACTTCTCGAAAGCTAAGCTGAATCAATTGATGTGTAAATTTTTTGCTGGACTGAAAACACAGCAAGGTGGTCCATACAAGAGATCATCTTTGATATCAATGAAATATGGACTTGGAAAACACTTGATGAAGAAACAGATTGATATAAATCGTGACCCAGAGTTCCTTAGATTCCGGGATGTCTTCAATGGAATACTGGCCAAAAACAAGAAACAGGGACTTTGTAAGTATGGTCTATTTCAATATTTATATTAACATACATACTGAATGCTTAAAGCAGTTCATTCAGCTTTTCAAAAGACCATCAATATAAATTTTCAAGAATAATTATGAGCAATAGCGCTGATTCATTATTCCACTTAAAGATTAATTAAATACAAATTGTCAGATTTCTGAGATTTGGTCAAAACTACTTTTATGATAATGCATTATGGATCTTTTGGGAGATATACATTTTAGATGGTGAAAATACTATGGTAGGTCAATTGTATATGTAACTTACAACTTTGTAATATATCTCTCTTTAAATGACTCTATCAAAAGATATGTACAACACAAGACTCCAAATTGAATTGATGTACCCACTTACGTTTGTCATTTTGTTTCTGTAAACAGGTCAAATTTTGATAAAATAATAGCAACTGCTTGTTACATTTATGTTTTGATGTTTTTATTAAACCATCGTCAACATACAATGGGATAATATTAAAAAACTGAATAATTTTGAAACAAAAGCATCACCTTTTCCCAAAATGGATGCAAAGAGATGAAAAGTCAAGAACGTGTTCATATTCATATATATTTAGCATTTGGCATTCTGCAATAAAGTATTGATATACATGAACATTATGCAGGGCGCGACAAATAAATTGCAACTCCTTAGAGCTTTCAGTAAAGTAAAAGAGCTATTTCTATCAACCCTCACTGAACATTTCAATATTACTGTAGACATTGTGTAGAAGAAAATGATAGTTCAAATGTTCAAAGAATCAACAAGGTCACATGATTATGATATAGCCTCGTTTTGTAAAACCTCAGTTACATTTAATTCAATGTCTTAAAGCACCTCTTATTACTCATGAAACTAGTGTTACGGTCTAAAACATAAATACAATTAAAGTACTGTACTCTACTGTTTTCCAGCATCAGTTTCACACAAGCCACCTATATCCAAGAAGGACATCCAAAAGTTATACTCAAGTGGAGTCTTCAACGAGGAGACGCCAAGTGGCCTTTTGTACAAGACATGGTTCGAGATCCAGTATTACATCTGTAGTAGGGGGCACGAGAACCTCAGAAGTATGACCAGGGAAACCTTCAAGGTCTCTAAAGATGAATATGGTCGGGAATATGTGCATGAGGCTCTGGTAACAGATGGTGAAACCGCTGCAATAGATAGGAGAATGTATGCATATCCTATTGGTGTACCAAATTGCCCCGTAGCAACATTTAAAAAATACATAAGCAAACTGAATAATGGAACTGAGGCTCTTTGGCAGAGACCTCAGGACAACCAAGTTGTGTATGCTGATGACGTCACTTGGTTTCACCGCACACCCCTTGGCCATCACACCCTTGGCTCAATGATGCGTCTCATATCAGGCAAAGCAAAACTGTCCACAACGTACACTAACCTTAGTATTCGTGCTACAAAACTGGCAGGAATTGCACTGAAATCAGAAGTTCATAATTTGCCAATTGGCAATGTAGTTCAAGGTGGATCTGATGCCCCAAAACTGATATTTATCCCAAATCGGATTGTGCAAATAGCCGGAACTCAACAGCAGACTGCACCAGGGGTGTCAGTTTTAAGACCTCTTATGTCTAAACCGAGATAGTTATAAAGTGTACAGTGCACAGTGAAGTCTAATAGCATCTGTTCAATCTATAGTCTGATAGTAGCCCATCAGTACATGTTGAAGCAAGAGTATTACTGAAATATTTACCCTTATATATTGAAATGTATTTACTTTAAAATTACATTTTGTCTTGTTTTGTATGAAGGTTCTATTTAATTGATCATGGTCTCTGTTAAAGTGGATTCATGGATACGCATGGAGTACATTCAGAACCCCTGTTACCAGTTGAGATAAAAATGCTTGAACCATTTATAGCAAAACCTGTCAATTTATGGAAAAACTTGTCTAATGCAAATGCCACTTCAAGATTAGTAATATGTGTGTCAGTTTGAGATACCAAAATTGGGACCGAGAAAAAAGTTTTCACTTTGAGAGTTGTTAGGATTAGAGAGGCATTCGGATTTACATGTCTATAATATATGTTTTACTGTATATTGAAACAGCACTGAACCTTTTGATCCATGTGTCTTGTCTTGAATAACTGAATCATGTACATTCTTAAAACAACCATTTCTGAACAGATGATCCTGACCTCGACAAATACGTTTCATGCTATTAATGATAATGTACAATAACTTTAGTTAATTTGGTACCTGCATTTTTTTAGGGACTTGGGGGATTCAAAATATTTTCTAGCCTATTTTCTGGGAAAATACAACAAAGCCTTGGGTAGTTGCTGCCTAAAAGGTTGGGGGATATCAAATGATGAGAATTTCACAAGTGCATGAAGTGGCAGTCAACAGAATATTCACCACACCTTTTTATTTCACCCTCAGGTCTGGAAAACAGGAAATTGTGAGATTTTTCTGAAGTACGTATAGCTTTATTATACTCAGGTGAAAAGCAATTAAAAGCAAATTGCAAATATTGTATCGGTTTACTGATTTTGGCCTTGTAAAATTCAAAATGGCTGCATAATGTGGGATTTCGCAATAATTTTCTGACCTTTTTTAAAGCATGGCTATATTATATTCAAATTACAGGAATTTTAGAGTAGATCACAATTATGGTATTGTTTTTCTTACTTATGCCTCAGAAAATTCAAAATTCTGACAAATTTCAAATGTACAGTATGTCTTAATATCTGGCAATTTAATTAAGGGTAGAGTAGATGGTAAATATTATATTTAATTGTGACATATACAGATTTAAGAATATAGTGTTCTTTCGGATTTGTTACTCCATGGAGTTGCCTATTGCTAGTTGTAACATAATGTAAAAATGTCAAAAGTGTCATTTGGCAGATCTAATCTAGTCTTGTAAACTAGGAAAGGGGGCATGCTATCATACAGTTTGGTAGATATGGAAGTACTTATTGTAATAATCTTCAAGGCCTTTATCAAGTCATTCATTTATTTATTAATCTTAATACTTTACAATCTATTTTATTCTTGAATTATGTTGTACACTGATATTCTTCTTGGTACACTATAACATTTACAAAATGTACATTTTGGAGACCCCAAGTCTTATGGAAGGTATCCGATTTAGGATAATGTTTGTACATTGTGCTTAGTGTAAATAGATTTCAACTTAACAAAGCATAGAGTTGAGAGGTAGTTTAAATAAAAAAAATTGTCACAAAAATATTTTCTCATCATTCCATGTCATGCCTGTTAATGTTCAAGAAAATTTCATTTTAAAAGATGGCGTCAGGGCATTAACTAACAATTATTTAGACAATCTCATTTTATTGATTGTTAAATAGAGTACAATTCCTTTCGAGCATATTGTCCGACTGATCAAATTATAAGTTGTTATTTAGTTTGGATATTACACTATATGATGGTGCAATGGGACTGACGTCTGCTAGCCTAAGAAGTAATTTTCAACATGGACATATTTTTTTGTTACATGAATACATCTTAAACAATTTAATCTACTGTAGATTGGGTTAATTTGGCGCTACTTAATTTGGCGATTTTGCCATTTTTGGCATATTGGCGGATATTTAATTTGGCGGAAATGCAAAAAAGTTAAACTTATGCGCTGTTTGCGAATTACCATGCAATTGCAATATTCACCCAATTGTACATTTTTGTGAGATCATTCTTTACATTTTGCAGCTGGATCGATGCTGCTACTATATCGCGCTTTTCCTTTCTAGTTTTTCCCTGAGTATTAATCAGTGACTGACCAGTTCTGAGCCAATTTATGAGAGACATTTTTCATATTTTTGGAAAAAACTAAACCAGATGTGACCTAAATACACTGGACGAAATACCCTAGATAATTCCCGGGGATTCATTCTAAATGGCGAAGATTTATATTGGCGAATTTTTCAATATTGCCAAATTAAAGCGGGTGCCAAATTAACCCAATCTACAGTATATATTGAATGATTGTATCTCTAAATTTCAAAATGGCTTCCAAATTCAAACATCTATCTGGTAACCAGATTGGGCACAGGTCTTTCACCTGTATAGATTTATACCCCATGCCAAGAACCTGTGAGCTTGGGACCATGTTGATACAATAGTCATGTGTCTGGAGAATGTACAGGAGGTTAGATCATATACATCGTACATGTACGATTGATTTCTTGATGTTGATTTCTTTAAATAAATGAGAAAATCCTGTTGTTTACTTCTACTAGCGTGTTGATCTCTGTAATCTTTTAGTTTTGTGATAATCTAAACGCCCTTTGTTATTCTGGCTCCACTAGGTTTTGTTTTCTTAGTAGAAAGTCGATGTAGTCCAAAGTGTCTTTCATTTGCTTCAACTAAATGCTGAAAACTGAGTCCAGATCCTGCAATTTTGTAAGCCATATTGTCATTCCGAACTTTGTCACACACAATGGGTTCTAGGTAATATCTAGACTTTGCTTCAGTATAGATGCAACTTTCGTCTACATATCTCAAAGAAAATGAGAACTGAAGAGTTTTGTCTTCAGCAATTGAAAAATACGGTTCTGATACATCCTGGACATCAGCTAATGCATTGAGAGTATCATATGATTTATCCTACAAGTGGTCTATTACTACAAGGTCACCTTGTTTGTATGAATCTAGATTTGGGTGAATATTTTTAAACACATCACAGATATCAACGATCAAGTACCACCATTATGAGAATGGCATAGAAATATCTGCCAAGCTTAAGAATCTTGCACTCATGTCAAGGTGTTATGTTATAGCTACAGTGCCAATATCATTTCCATCCAGATTCCAGATGTGTGCCATCCATCTATTCAGCTTCCACATTTTGGCACCTACTTCAGGCCCAGGATTTGCCAAGAGGGGTTTCATTTTTAAGAAATTCCAGGGGGGTTCACTTTGGACAACTTGGCCAAAATCGCTTGAAAAGTGCTCAGAATGGTGAAAAACTGCATGATTTTAAAGAATTTTTGCCTTGGAGGGGGTACTTTAAGAGTCTCATCTTGGAAACAAGATACCTGTTCTGGTAAATTATAAGATGCAAGTGTGAAAACAAAGATTGGGAACTTAGAGTGGCAAATAAATGTTTCATATATTTCAGTGCCACACTAAAATTATCTGATAATGAATACATTTGTCATGATTTAATAAAAAGTATTAATATATTTCGTACTTTTTCTGTGAAATACAATTAAACTATATCAAAGAGAAAAAGACTCATTTATATTTGGATCAATTCCGTTTATTGAATTATACTTATTAATTAATGCTACTTGATAATCTTTAAAATCGGGACATATTAAAAGTCTATGGGCCATGGTGACCATTTTGTGTCAGTTGCATAGTGTGTATTTATAATCAAATGGGACATAATTCAAATTTCAATGAAATGTATTTTATTTTATTATAGGACAATATTGAGGTACATCCTGGCACACCCTGTATAATAGTTTGACAATAAAGTATGTAACTAACTAAAAAAAAAAATTGTTTGAAATAGGATTTCTAGATCAGGTAGATGATAAAGAGGGGACATTGTTAAAAAACATGAACAGTAAAATATCTTTTGTTTTATCAGATCTATAGTCATTTTATTTTCTCTGTAGCCTATAAAATTGTAAACTAGTAATATATACCAGATTATAAACCTTGAAAGCCAGTACATTTTACTACATTCTGAGGAAGTGTAAGTTGTCACTCATTATTTTTGTGCCTGAAATTCCCTACAAAATTTCCCTGATCATCACACTTATTTCGTGATTCTGAGAGAATATGTTTTGAGAAACAATATTAATTTTTGTCACAGTGGGCCAATTTCCTTAATTTACTAAAGCAGTAACAATAGCGATTTTGAAATTTCGGGGCTTTTATATTTGGCTAATTTTTAGTTTTTTGAAATTTCGCAGCTATTAATTTTTGTGGTAGGTGACTTCTCAAAATGTGTCCTGCTTCAATTTTTAAGTTGGCAATTACAAGTATGTATGTTTTTAGAGTTTAGGTGGATTTTGTGAGAATGTTGATTTAATTATGACCTTCCAGAATCCGAATTAAGAATACAGTAACCTCCCAACTTTTATCACCCAATAGATTTTTCTTTTATTGACTCAATAATCATGTCATATAAATGACATATCAGTCACTACAGTGTACAAAAATTTAAACTACAACTACAAAACTACTTTACATCAGAATACTGGACAGAAATATTGTCAACATTGTATTTTGTGAATCTTCCAAAACTCACAAAAAGCGCGGAATACAGTAGCACACGAAAATTACCGGGAGTACAGTATTGTGTTTTAATCTGCTTTACCATCTTTATGAACAGTTCTCATGTGCAAATAAATGGCTGAGTCATACTTGAACTTGTTTCCACATATTTTACATTTAAACTTCTTTTCACTGGAGTGTGATATCTGATGTCGTTTCAACCTCCAATGGGTTGTAAAGAGTTTCCCACAAGTGTGACAAACCATCTTCTTTGTATGAATTTCAACTAAGTGTCTTTTTTTGGTCACTGCACTTCCAAATGTTCTCGGACAAAAGTCACACTTAAATTTCTGTTCAGCATGGAAAAGATCATAATGTCTTCGATATCCAATATGAGACATATAAGTCTTTCCGCAAACATCACATTGTACACCTGAGCATTTGGTACGCTGAACAACATGGGCATAATATCTATGGTTCAATAAATATTTATAGTCCTGAAATTCTCTTGAGCAAATTTGACATTTGAAAAATGGGTGTTGCTTCCAGTGACTTATTAGCTCTAACCAAGTGGAACATACCGTGTCACAGTGCATGCAATTGTATGTGGCTTCAGCTGGGTGGACCTGTCTAGCATGCAACTGGAGACTTACCAAATCGGGAAACTTCCAACGACAGTTCATACAATTAATCCCTTTTCCCTTAATTAAACATATATTTTCGCATTTGTGATTTAGTAATGTTTCCATCTCAAAATTACATTCACCAGATTTATTTTTACCAAAGTCTTTACCACATTTAGGACAGAATTCAATAATTGCTTCATGATTTTGTTCAGATTTAACATAAACTTGGTTTAAATTATTCACTGGAGCTACATTCAGTTTGTCGTTTTCTTGCATACTCTGAGTGGGATCTCCTTGCATACTCTGCATGGGATCTCCTTGCATACTCTGCACGGAATTTCCTTGCATAATCTGCTTGGAATCTCCTTGCATACTCTGCACGGAATTTCCTTGCATAATCTGCTTGGAATCTCCTTGCATACTCTGCTTGGAATCTCCTTGCATACTCTGCATTGAATCTCCTTGCATACTCTGCATGACATCTCCTTGCATACTCTTTGTGGGATCTCCTTGCATACTCTGAGTGGGACCTCCTTGCATACTCTGCATGGGATCTCTTTGCATACTCTGCATGGAATTTCCTTGCATAATCTGCTTGGAATCTCCTTGCATACTCTGCTTGGAATCTCCTTGCATACTCTGCTTGGAATCTCCTTGCATACTCTGCATTGAATCTCCTTGCATACTCTGCATGACATCTCCTTGCATAATCTGCTTGGAATCTCCTTGCATACTCTGCGTGAGATCTCCTTGCATACTCTGCATGGGATCTCCTTGCACAATCTGCTTGGAATCTCCTTGCATACTCTGCATGACATCTCCTTGCATACTCTGCGTGGGATCTCCTTGCATACTCTGCTTGGAATTTCCTTGCATCAATTGTAATGCACTTTGTGATTGTGATTCATTTTGTTTGTCCTCAACAATGCTTGCATGATATATAAGGTTATGCATTTGTAACTCTGCAGGGCTCTCTGTCCAAAACCTCCACTTGCAGTCGGCCACTATACATTTATAGACCTTACTCTGTAGACAACGGATGACATCTACTCTGGACTCACCTGAAAGAGAAAATGTAAATAAATATAGCAAACCCTCAACACATTCTCAGTCATTCAAACAAGCCATCTTTGTACATAACAGCATCTGCATTTACACAAAAGGTAACTTTAACATTAACTAGTACAAAAACAGGAGCTCCCTAGAGTAGCGAAAACATATTTCATTAAATCACATACTTTGTTCTTATGTTCGGGTACTATATTTTTCCATTTGTAGTACAACCAGATATATTCTGGAGTGACTATCCAATCTCAATAATGCATGTACGAGTAGGTAGTTACCAGTTTCACCACAAGGTGGCTCATTTGGGTAAGATAGCATAGCAGGTATAGTAGAAAGTTCCCGTTTACTTAAATTACATCTGTTTTAGTGGTTAAATTTTCATATAACCCTTATGTATCTAACAGTTATGCAAATTAAAATATGTCCAGCAAAAGAAAATGTTATCTGTTAAATACAAGACATTTCACTTTTTGTAATTTTTTAACATGAGGTCTATGGGGAATCAACCCTAACTAGAAGTTACATTTTCAAAAAAAAAAATCAAATTTTCAAAGTTGATAAACAATTTTCGAAACCATATTTCTTGATGTACTATTACATGTAGATTTCAAATATCATTTTGACAGGATTTTGAATATTTAATGATATAAATCAATATTTTTTCAATCACAAAATCAGAGAAAATGCATAAATCGACAATCAGGACTATATCAAATGTTTTTTTCATTGATTGGGATGCTAGGCATGCAATGTCTTTATGCACATACTCCTGGTTTCTAACTGGGTGCATTCACCATGTGACTGATACTCTTTAATTCCATTGTTTGGCTTGATATTAATGTTCAATACCAGAAAAGTTATATCCATGTTGCACTTGTTTCCATAAAGAAAATTTAAATGGAAGAAAATAGAAAGGATTGAAACCTCTAATGGAGATCCTGGCCTTTTTACATTTGGCTCTACTATCTTTAATGATCTTGTCCCTAAATTAACCCATATTTAATAGGCCAAAAAACCAAGGAAGCCTGCAATTTACACTATCATTGGAATTTGATGCAAAGCTTTTTTCCAAAAAAGAATAGCTTGAAAAAACTATCAGTACAGGATAAGCATTTTTTTCCTTGAATAGTATTGAAAAAATATCAATAACAACAATTCGTCAAAACATTACAAAAACAAAAATGTAACAATTGTTGCATATGTCAAATGTCAGTCACAAAAAGCTAGCAACCATAACAATGTATGTAACAACCCTCCATGGTTGTCAACTTCATGATACGTAACATCACACACCTTTACAATCATTTGATGTTCAATCAATACTGATGCCAATAAACCAAGTCATCAACATTACTTACTTTTAATAAAAATTCTATATATTCTTCAACAGGTTATAAAGTGAAATAAATGTCACAATCATACAGTAACAGGACTGGTGCAAGCAATTTGGTAATTGATTAATGATGTTCAAATTATCACAGAATATACACTCATGATTGGGACTAGAGGTGCAAAGTTTGAAAAGATTTCATGAAGCACTGTTAGAGTCAGTGTTGCTATGGTAACATGACATTGCAGAAACCAGGGCAACTTTTCATGAAACAGATGCTAAGCTATGTGAATTATTCTTGTTCACAGTAATTCAAAAGATATTGACGACAACATCCAATTGATGATTCTATCCTTCTATACATGATGCATCTGTATGATCTTGTATATTTTAAAGAACAATGAAAAGTGTCTAGTATTTAATTGTTGACACACACAAGTTGTCAAATTTACTATGTGAAATGTCAGCTAATAAGTTTGAAAGAGTCATTGTTCAAGTGCCACTACACCAGTCTGACCTATAAGGATATGAAGAGAGTCAAAAGCAAAAGATATGAACCTAATTCTAAGGATGTTGCATTTGTACATACATTATTTTAGTGCCATCTAGCCCTTAAAAGATATAATACTTAAAAATGGGTCCAGAAACTTAAAAATGGGCCTAGAATTTTCAAAACAAAATTAAAGTGAGGATTAAAAAACACTGAAATCATCTAAGAGAAATTAGAATCCAGGAACTAGAATTCCATAATTTTGTTTTGTAGACTCTACAATAGATGGATATACAGGAACATCCCTAGAACTGAAACACTCTGTAAGTAGAAAACTTTTCAGGATCCAAAGACCAAATGACTCAATGTTAAATGAACATCTAAATGTTGAACCCCTCACAAGTGGAACACTTTTTAGAGGTACAAATTAACTAAAGGTGTTCTACTAAGAACACCTTTTGAAAATACCATGGAATGATGAGACCACAAACTATTGTAAAAGTGTGACATGTTTTGAAATGTACTCACAATCCAACTCTATCCCTTCTCCTGCCTTTGAAGAATAATATTAATAGTTACCTATATTTGGACTTTGGTTGTTGCCATCGCATTTCCCTTCTACATGAGATGGTATCTTTGATCTTTCATCAAAAATATTTATATCTTTTTTTACTTTCTTGCCTCTGTGAAAGTCTGGTGCCTGACCAGATGTGATGCTTTCTTTGTTGAATTTTGTGGTTGATTGTGGTGCACATAAAGTGGAAGTACTTGCTGATGGCTGTTGAGTGGCTGTAGGAACTGAAAAGGCAGAATTTCATGTAGTTATTAATAAAATAGTACTGTGGGTACTGGGCTCACATGGTGTTGCTCAAAAGTTAAAGATGGCTAAAATGACAGAAAATAAAACGATATAATTTTTTGCTGATTTTTTGTAACAAAATTATTTCAAGCCACTTGCCACTATTTGGACTGACTGAGAGACAGATGGACAAATCGATGTTAAGTAAAATGGCTGAAAAAAAAATGGATATAATTTTTTGCCAATTAGTTGTTACAAAATTATTTCATACAACTACTCTTTACAGTGACATGGCTTTTTGCAATGCAGGACACCTGGAATTATTTGTAAAGCTAGGAATTGGGCCAAAATTGAATTTCGCGAGACAAAAATGGCAACCATTTTGAAAATAGGCAAGCTTTTGAACCAAGAGTCACAGGGGAGTTTTTTGTATTGATGTTGAACAAAAATAACTTGAAACTGGAATCCTATCGACAGAGGTTTTAAGGCAAATGGTCCAAAAGAGGATTTAGCGAGACAGATGGACAAATCAATGTTAACTAAAATGGCTGAAAACAAAAACAAAAACGGATATAATATTTTGCCGATTTTTTGTAACAAAATCATTTCATACAACTACTCTTTACAGTGACATGGCTTTTTACAATGCAGGACAGCTGAAATTATTTGTAAAGCTAGGAAATGGGCCAAAAGTGAATTTAGCGAGACAAGAATGGTGACCATTTTGAAAATAGGCGAGCTTTTGAGTCATAGGAGAGTTTTTTGTATTGATGTTGAACAAAATTAATTTAAAACAGGAATCCCATCGACAGAGGGTTTAAGGCAAATGGTCCAAAAGTGGATTTTGCGAGACAGATGGACAAATCAATGTTAACTAAAATGGCTGAAAATAAAAAAATGGATATAATTTTTTGCTGATTTTTCGTAACAAAATTATTTCATACATCTACTCTTTACATTGACATGGATTTTTACAATGTAGGACACCTGAAATGATTTGTAAAGCTAGGAAATGGGTCAAAAGTGAATTTTGCGAGACAAAAATGGCGGCCATTTTGAAAATAGGCGAGCTTTTGAACCAGGAATCATAAGGGACGGACGGACAGACAGACAGACAAGTGAGTGATTGCGAAAGCTCACCATGTGAGCTAATAAAAAACTCAGTGTTGATTGTCTAACCGGATTAAAAGGAAGAACATATTATGTATATGAGAGATATTCCAAGATTAAAGGATTGCATTTCTGAGTCATTATGTACATCTGCCACTACTAATGAAATAATTTAAAGTGATGAGTGTTATTGAGACAACTTTTTATGTAACTCTGAAGTAAAACAATTCCATATCTCACCTTTTCTCTTCAAAGCAATGTTCTTTCTGGGACTTTGTCTGTATTCAGTAGCATTAACTTTGTCTAAAGGTGTCTCAATGTCATCAGCAATCTTGTCATCAGCTTCTATAGTATCTGACATGTCAACTTCAGGATCCATGTACTGTTGGTTTTCCAGTTCTGATACAAGTTTTTCAAACTGATCTTCTGGTTCAGTTTTCACAGAAGTTTGCCCAGAGCTTTCATTCCAATCCAGTGGCTCCTCTTTTATATATACCCCTGTGTAGGTCTCATCCTCTGTATGCTTTGATTGCATAGCCTCAGTCACATATTCATCCAACACTGTGATCTTCAAAAGAGTTGCAATTCTTTTCAAATTGCCAGCATCTGATTCAGTGAATTCAATACTTCTCCCATACATGAAATCTAGTGCCATTCGTACTGCATCAGTTTTTACTTTTGCCTTGCAGAGATCAATCTTAATGTTCACTTGTTGAGTTTTGTCATTGCTGCATATTCTATGTACGACAGGGCTATATGCACAAACTACCACCTTATGTGCTAACAGCTCAACACCTCCATGGAGCAAGAAAATTGTGTCACAAAATTGATGTCTCTTTTGCATGTCTGCTAACATATTTTGGAATAATGTGTTCTGGATGCAATACACCAAATTTTGCTTTGTGCTTTCCTTTTTCATCTTGATACCACACGTATCTGGAAATACAAATGAATATTTCAATCAAAACTTGAGAAACATTTTTAGTGATGTTAAATGAGGTATTGGGAGTGATCCTCAGAGGAAAGAGCTGGAGCTACAGATATCATATATGTAGATTCTGAAAATATCAGCAGAATTGTACATATCGTAGGGTAATTAATTTATTGTTGAACATCAGCTCCAATAGACAAAACAAGGCATTAACATGACAAAATGTCACCACCTAAAACAATTTGGTCAATTTAAAGCAAGTTGGAAAATACCTTTTGACCTTAAGAAGGTTTGATTTGAACTTCTTAGAACATGTAGATGATTTTGAAAAAAAAATTCGTCAATTTGAAGCAAGTTGAAAAAATACCTCTTTGACTTTTTTTTGACATTGAGAAGGTCATTGAAGGTCAAATGTCAAATGTAAAGTCAGATTTGAACTTCTGAGAACATGTAGATGATTTTGAAAAAAAAATTAAGTAAATTTGAAGCAAGTTGAAAAAGACCTTTTTGACCTTGAAAAGGTCAAATGTCAAATCTAAAGTCAGATTTGAACTTCTGAGAACATGTAGATGATTTTGAAAAAAAAAATTAGTCAATTTGAAGCAAGTTGAAAAAAGACCTTTTTGACCTTGAGAAGGTCATTGAAGGTCAAAGGTCAAATCTAAAGTCAGATTTGAACTTCTGAGAACTTGTAAAGTCAAATTTGAACTTCTGAAAAGATGTAGATGATTTTGAAAAAAAAATTTGGTCAATTTGAAGCAAGTTGAAAACAGACCTTTTTGACCTTTTTTGACCTTGAGAAGGTCATTAAAGGTCAAATGTCAAATCTAAGGACAGATTTGAATTTCTGAGAACATGTAGATGATTTTGAAAAAAAAAATTAGTCAATTTGAAGCAAGTTGAAAAAAGACCTTTTTGACCTTTTTTGACCTTGAGAAGGTCATTGAAGGTCAAATGTCAAATCTAAAGTCAAATCTAAAGTCCTATTTGAATTTCTGAGAACATGTAGATGATTTTGAAAATTTTTTTAGTCAATTTGAAGCAAGATGAAAAAATACCTTATGACTTTTTTGACATTGAGAAGGTCATTGAAGGTCAAATGTCAAATCTAAAGTCATATTTGAATTTCTGAGAACATGTAGATGATTTTGAAAAAAAATTTAGTCAATTTGAAGCAAGATGAAAAAATACCTTTTTGACCTTTTTTGACATTGAGAAGGTCATTGAAGGTCAAATGTCAAATCTAAAGTCAGATTTGAATTTCTGAGAACATCTAGATGATTTTGAAAAAAAAATTTAGTCAATTTGAAGCAAGTTGAAAAAAGACCTTTTTGACCTTTTTTGACTTTGAGAAGGTCATTGAAGGTCAAATATCAAATCTTAAGTCAAATCTAAAGTCAGATTTGAATTTCTGAGAACACGTAGATGATTTTGAAATTTTTTTTTAGTCAATTTGGAGCAAGTTGAAAACAGACCTTTTTGACCTTTTTTGACCTTGAGAAGGTCATTGAAGGTCAAATGTCAAATCTTAAGTCAGATTTGAATTTCTGAGAACATGTAGATGATTTTGAAAAAAATTTTTAGTCAATTTGAAGCAAGTTGAAAACAGACCTTTTTGACCTTTTCTGACCTTGAAAAGTTCATTGAAGGTCAAATGTCAAATCTAAAGTCAGATTTGAAGGTCAAATGTCAAATCTAAAGTCAAATCTAAAGTCAGATTTGGATTTCTGAGAACATGTAGATGATTTTGAAAAAAAATTTAGTCAATGTGAAGCAAGTTGAAAAAAGACCTTTTTGACCTTGAGAAGGTCATTGAAGGTCAAATGTCAAATCTAAAGTCAGATTTGAACTTCTGAGAACATGTAGATGATTTAGAAAAAAATTGAAGTCAGTCTAAACAGTATTTGTTAAGTTATAGGAAGTTGTAAGAAATTGTTACAGACGCCGGACGCCGGACGCCAACCTCCAACCACCAACCGCCGTCGCAAAAAAACGGAGAATAAAGTCAGATTTGAAGGTCAAATGTCAAATCTAAAGTCAAATCTAAAGTCAGATTTGAATTTTTGAGAACATGTAGATGATTTTGAAAAAAAATTTAGTCAATGTGAAGCAAGTTGAAAAAAGACCTTTTTGACCTTGAGAAGGTCATTGAAGGTCAAATGTCAAATCTAAAGTCAGATTTGAACTTCTGAGAACATGTAGATGATTTAGAAAAAAATTGAAGTCAGTCTAAACAGTATTTCTTAAGTTATAGGAAGTTGTAAGAAATTGTTACAGACGCCGGACGCCAACCTCCAACCACCAACCGCCGTCGCAGAAAAACGGAGACCATAACAATATGTCACCACTTTTGGTGGTGACATAAAAAAAACGGAGACCATAACAATATGTCACCACTTTTGGTGGTGACATAAAAATCAGAAATGCTTGCACTAATTCTACCATATGGTTTCATTGTCTTTAGAATAAAATAATGATAATAAAAAAATAAAATAAAAAATATAAAATCCAAAGTTATTTTGAGATTATATCGAACGTTAACTTAGATTTCTTATGTATTAAAAATTTGACAGAAGCAAAATGCGAAATCAAATTAAAACATATTATACGACTACGTTTTAGACAAACGCGAGCTTCAGCATCTACAATCAGCCTTTAAAAATACATTCAGATGTGACAGCTATACTCAGGTTGTGACTTATATTTCTTTCATTTGCACCCAGCGTTCTCACTAATTCACAGTCTACACCATTATACAGGTTGACCCAGAAAAATATTACCCCCTAATTTTGAAATAAATTTCTCAAATATGATGGAGCCTTTATGAATTTATCTGTGTAGAGAGACTGTTCAATCAGTGTACTTATATTGCATCTATGATTTTAAGTTTTAGATAATCATATTTCCATCCAAATATGCTCAAGTGAAAGGAATAAGTAAATTCCTTCAGGGTTTTAAAGATATCCATTGTGGGTGACCAAAATTAAGCTGAAAACAATGGATTGCATGAGTTTTCCCTATGGGAAAATAACATGGGTAATATTGTTTTTCACTTTATTTCTTTAAAGGGGTTAACTGTGTGTCAAAAACGCAACATATTGATGCATCAAAAATTGAAAAAGCAGGGATGGAAGGGGTTGAAAATCAGAACAACATTTCAGAAAAACATGTGGGTGAGTAGGTCACATTTTCTACCAATTTAATATCAACATGAGGTCTATAATACCTATAATCCAATGCAAAATGGAATATTTTTTCGATTCAATTTTTCTTCACTTGTTACATTTGACTGATTTCACAATGTAACGAAGGGCGTCGGAAGGCATATATATATCTTTTATTGACTCAATAACCATGTCATGTAATTGACAAATCAGTCACTACAGTGTACAAAAAACTACAAACTACAACTACATATTACAAAACTACTTTACATCAGTTGCATATGTCAGGGTATGATATCAGTGTGGTGTATCCATAATACATGCAACATACTGATAAGTAGATACGTGGTTATATCATACTAGTATCAATTTATATTTTTGTAAATCAAACTTCTGAATGGATATTGACCACAGACACGGGAACAAGAGTTCATCCCCCTCCATGCACTCACTATGTATTACAGGCCTGTCAACTTGGGAACACCTAACATGAGTGACTTGGAAATGTTGAACACCTCCCCTCAAAATGTGGACACCTTGGTCCAAATCTGAACACCTTGATCCAAATTTTGAACACCTTGGTTTAAATTTCATTACATCTTGCCAAATTTTGAACACCTCAAATTTTTCGCGCTCGCTCAATCGCGTTTTAAACATCCATCAACGGGGGGGGGGGGGGGTAGGTACGAAAATTTTCGAACGGAATGTGTGACATATACGTAATTCGCGTGAAAAGTCCGAACGAAATGCGTACATTTTTTTCCGGCGTTCGTATTTTTGCTGTGTAGACGATCTTTTTTTGAAGTTTTTCTACAGAAATATTTTTGCTTGACAATTACCAGGTAAAATGCGTATTTGCGTGACATTTTCTGTCACGCAAAAATAACTGGCGTGACTTCAAATTCTTCAGCAAATGCGTGACAAATACGCAAATTGCGGGACAGTTGACAGGCCTGGTATTACTTAAAAAAAAGACAGGCTCCTATCTCGGGAAATCTAAGCCTCTACTCAAATTGCTCATATATCCATCACTGACTAGAGTCATGCATTATCTTTTGTCTCAATGCAAGGTTAAGACATTAAATCGCATTTATGGTAACTCACCAATTCTTAAATCAGCATAATTGTGCAAATAACATTGGAAATGTGACGAAAAAACAATAACTTTTGCAATCACGACAAACTGACGTTCTTTGACAGCGACCTCTATAATATCCATGACAAGAATCTCATTATTTTAAGAATCATATTTTTATAATACAATTACCAATCTCATTTCTAGTACATGTATTTAGATATATCTGTGGTGATGCTATGAACTTATTGTAGTAGTCTCGGTATATTTTGCATAGTATATCGTCTAATATTAGCTAAAATTATAATTTAGCAGTTTCGTTGAAAAAACTGATTTGGAATACCCAGTGACTTTAGCACCCCTCCCTACAATGTTTGACATTGCTATCTCGGCGTGCCCTCTTCTATAATCAGTAGCAAATGCTCGCAAAACATTTTCCAAAATATTTACTACCGCTTTCCTTGAAGACATGGTTGGATGACATGTCATTATCGATACAGTAACTAGTTAACTTCGACATATAAGTGTTACCTGATGAATGGGACCCTCACGTGCCTTCCCAATGGTAGTAAACGAACCCTACGTATCATAACTTCCGGAAATGAATGCCTTTTCGGAAAATTTT